TCTCCCTTTTTGTCAAGGAGCAAGGTAAGCTTCTATATTTCCCTAGACATTTTTAGTAAGATGTGTAATTCATGTCAAAACAGTAGGAATGCTATGTCTACTACGAGGTATTTTCACAAAGTAATGGATGTTTTCAATATTTTTGTCAGTGTGGAACTGGTCACTAAATGCTAAAAATGTGCATTGATGAGGAGTTTTGTGACACTTAAAACATCATGTCGCTTTCCTAAAGAGGATGAGAACAAACAACAACAACAACAAAATAAAATAAAATAAAATAAACTCCTCAAATCATAGGACAGATCATGCTCTGGTTTGGTAATATCATTCATATTATTACTAACACATCTAGAAAAGCTAAAAGAGTGGTGGCTAAGGACATAGGCTTTAAAATCTGTCTGACCTGGATATGAATCTTGAGTATATTTCTTGCTAGATGTGGACTTTTATGAAGTCACCTAACATCTCAAATCCTTAGTTTCCTTACAAAAAAATGTGGATAATAATACTATGCACCTTATAACATTGCAGGATAAAGATATAGGACAATATAACTTATAAAGTTATCCTTGTTGACTCATAAGTTATTTTTATAAATGCTTGTCTTCATAAGCATAGTGTAAATATTATACTACCTACCTTACAGTCAGGAAGATAAAATGAAATATATACACATACTTATATATATGAAATGCTCTTTATTAGAGATTATAGACAATAGTATATGCTAAGAAAAATTATGTTTGTCAAGGGTGAGCAAATACAAACATCTTTAGTTACTAGGCATGAGAGGTGAAGTGGTGAAGGGGAAGAAGAGTGGTTACCAATTAATGGAAGCTGTGACATCAGCTTCAAGTTCAAACAAACAAACAAAATTACAACATGGAATGCACCAAAAAAGTAGATCTGAAAGCTAAAGTAAAACCCAGGGGCATAAAATTTCAACCCTAGATTTTTGCGATCCAGCTTATGGGTGACAGTCATGAGAAAAGTTTAAAGCAAAAGAAAATTGTTTCAACCTGAGGTAAAATATGGATCTCAGGGAAGAAACTGAGCACATGGCTGGTACATCCAATGATACAGTCAAAGGAAAGACAGAGTGAGACACACTGGAAGGATCAGAAGATCAGAATGCACATAGTGTGTGAGGAAAGATGAATCAAGGAGTGAGGCTATCACACTTCAAACTAGTCCATAACCTAAGGACCTGGATATTGCTTCCCACCTTTACCAAACCAAGGTAGAATCCGTCATTTCACCCTAATATTTAGAGCTAATATTCAGCAGGTTTGTACTTACCATTTTTCATGTGTTATTTTATTAGCTCTTACAATTGCCCCTTCATGGAACACCTCCATCTTTAGAGATGAAAAATAGGAGGCTCAGAAACCTTTGGTTTGGATAGTGTCTCCCAGATAGTAAATGGTAGGATACTTTCAGAGTACATATTTATCTCTTCCCAGAGCTTGAGTTCTAACACTCAGTGCGTTACTTTCTCTTCAGAATTGCCTTTGCTGGTTAGCTCACTGCATCTACTTCACATAGATGCCTCTGTTACTCCCTTGTAAGTCCCAAATCTAAGGGTATATACTAGTCATCTCACTACTCCTAATAGTTAATATTAAGCTTGCTCCAAGGAATTTAATTTTTAAGTGTGAATTGAATTAATTCAATTCAATTCAAATTTTAGTTAACATCACTGGAATTGGGAAGTAGGCTGCCCAGGAACAAAGCTTGATTTTGCCAGTTAGTACTTGTGTCAATTCGAACTAATTGCTCAACCACTTTGAGTCTGTTATCTCATAAAATAAATGAGGGCAATGCCTAATTAATCTCATGGCACTGTTGAGAGAACTAAATGAATATATAGAGAGTCAATTCTCGTATTCACAGATTTCATATTTGCAAATTTTCATATGTCTAAAATTTATTTGTAGTCCTAAAGTAAATATTCACAGTGCTCTTATGATCATTTAGGGATAGGTGAAGAGTGGTGAAAAGTATGCATTGCCTGATGTATACATTTCCAGCTGAGGTTGAACAAGGCAATTGATCTGCCTTCTTGCTTCAGTTCTCAAACTGTAATTGTGTCTTTTATGCAGTCTATACAGTGCCAGTTTTTTCATATTTTTTGCTTTTTGCCAGTGATTTTCCTATTTAAATAGCCCTTGAGTGTAAGTTCTGAAGTGCCATCCAATGTTTCTGAGCTCAGGAAGGCTGTGATATGCCTTAAGGAGAAAATATGTGTTACGTTAGCTTCATTCAGGCATGAGTTATAGTGCTGTTGGCCATGAGTTCAATGAATCAACAATATATATTAAAAAGGGTGTCTTTAAAGAGAAATATACATAAACAAGATTTTGGATTGATCAGTTGATAACGATGTGACCGGAGGCTTGTAGGAACCTGTTTGTGTATTTTTGCTAGAAAGTAAGCATCAGGAATTCACTGTTTGCTGTGACTTTACAGAACCTAACTACTACAGGTAACAGGATTGAATCTGAGATACACAGATCCTGGAATATGAGCTCTATACAGGGGTAAACTATTTCTAGGCTCAGTATATATGATTTGGAAGATGGAGTCACGCCAGATGTGTGACTGTGGACAAGTTATTACCTCTTTCTGCACCTCAGTTTCTCACATACAAAATTAAGTGAGTAATCCAGGAAATCCCTCAATTTCCACTATCTATAACACTACAGATAATTTATTTATCAATTTTTTGTTATGTGTGTGCTTTAGGTCTGGAGAACAAATTATCGTTGTAATTGAAATAATCCACAGAGGATTTATACACTCCAATTTTACTGTACCCTCTTTCCACTTAACACTCTGTTCCTTCCTTCTGATTGCCACAGGGCATCTTGTGATTCCTAAATGACGTCCATGGAGAACAATACAGAGGTGACTGAGTTCATCCTTCTAGGACTTACTGATGCTCCAGAACTGCAGGTCCCACTCTTTATAATGTTTACCCTCATCTACCTCATCACTCTAGCTGGAAATCTGGGGATGATCATGTTGATACTGTTGGACTCTCATCTTCACACTCCTATGTACTTTTTCCTTAGTAATCTCTCTCTGGTGGACTTTGGTTACTCCTCAGCAATCACACCCAATGTGATGACAGGATTCCTTACAGGAAATAGGGTCATCTCCTACAATGCATGTGCTGCTCAGATATTCTTTTTTGCAGTCTTTGCCACTGCAGAAAGTTACCTCTTGGCATCAATGGCCTATGACCGCTACGCAGCAGTGTGTAAACCCCTACATTACACCACCACCATGACGAAAAATATGTGTGCTTGTCTTGCCATTGGCTCCTATGCTTGTGGTGTTCTGAACGCCTCTGTAAATGTTGGAGATACCTTCAGGCTCTCTTTCTGTAGGTCCAATGTGGTCCATCACTTTTTCTGTGATGCTCCAGCTGTCATGAGTCTTTCTTGCTCGGATAAACATATCAGTGAGTTGGTTCTTATTTATATCAGTACCTTCCATGTGGTTTTTGCTCTCACGGTTCTCTTTATTTCCTACCTGTTCATATTTATCACCATTCTGAAAATAGATTCAGGTCAAGGACTCCATAAGGCTTTGTCCACCTGTGCTTCCCACCTCACTGCCATCTCCATCTTCTATGGGACAGTCATCTTCATGTACTTACAGCCCAGCTCCAGCCATTCCATGGACACAGACAAAATGGCATCCGTGTTCTATACCATGGTCATTCCCATGGTGAACCCCATGGTCTACAGCCTGAGGAACAAGGAGGTCAAAAGTGCATTCAAGAAGGTTGCTGAGAAGGCAAAATTGTCTCTAAGATTAACCTTTTAATAATGTAGCTTCCACAATAAGTTAGTTTCATCTCTGTATGACATTCTTTGCTCAGTGACCCACAAGTTAAGGCCCACCTACTTTCCTGAGGTAATACTCCCCCCATTACACAATCTCAGAGGTCTCATAGAAACTAAACACAATGTTAGCATGCATCTTTCTACCACATGTTAATGACAATATGCGTGCAAAACAGGAGCATACACAAGCCTAGGGTTAGAAGTGCATGCTCGTGTCCCATGCTTGCACATACAAACAGGAGCAGGAAATTTGTCAAAGAAGTAAATGGAGTATGGCTGGTTTGGGGGAAAAAAATGAATGTAAAATAATCAATTGGCTATAAGGATATATATGTATTTTTTATGTCTAAGCTTATTTATTTCTTTAATGAAAAATCTGTTATTAGTCCTAAACTCAGAAAAAAAAGTAATACAAGTTTTTTTTAATAAATGTAAATACTTTTTAGGCACAACTTTTCCACAGCTACATAAATATAATTTTTAAATGAATTGATATTTCTGTCTTTCCTGAGTTACTTGATACAAACACATTCACAGGATAATTTTCAAAAAGGAAAAAAAAGCAGAGTAAGAGTACACAAAAGAAGTGAGATAATAAAGGCGTTTTCTGAGTTATCAAAATATGGCTATCAGTACTTCACATTTTATAAAAAAATGCACTGATAATAAAAATATGATAAAATTTTCTTTCTATAAATACTGTCAACTGAAAAAAAAAGCACAATATGAGAGTGTGAGTTAAGGTTTATTTAGCACAAAATGAGGACTATTGCCTGGGAGACAGCGTTTTCAACAGCTCTGAGCAACTGCTCCAAAGAAGTAGGAGGGACATCAGTATTATATGATTTTAGTGAAGACGTTACATGCAAGCAAGAACACGTTTAGGCAGAGGCTTGCTGCTAGTCACAAGGAGCAGGCGTCACTCTCAGTGATTTTAGTGCTTGTCCAGATAGGAGGAGATGCAAGAATTTGGGCGCATGAAATCTTCTCCTGAAAATATCTAACTCTCTGAAGGCCTGTTCCACCAGTTTTCCCAGAGCTCCTTTCAGGGTGTGTTGGTGGTCAGCACCTGCAGTGGTTCCTGATTTAATCCTCGTAGAGGCAGATGACAAGTGCCGAGTTTCAGTTGGTAATGCTTTTAAATGGTTAATGCTACTCATTCGTTGATAATTTAGTTGAGCTACAAAATCCCTATCACATTCTCACTCATTCATCCTGCTTTGTTTATAATGAATTTCTTGCTCTTCCTTGACATGTCCAAGCATGTCTCAGGGCGTTTGCACTTGCTGTTCCCTCTGCCTGGAAAGTTTCCTTACTCTCTTTGTTTCTCTATCATAGAAGTATTATCCTATCCCATCATAGAAGTATTCCATGGTCACCTTTATAAAATATATGTTCCTTACTGACATTTTCTTCTCACCCTGTTTCGTGCTTCTTGATTTTTATTTGTTTACCTATTTATTATATATATTCAAACAAGAACATGAACTACATGTGAGCAGTAGATTTATCCACTTTGATCATAATTCTGGATCATAAGAAATTTAAATAAATATTTGCTAAATAAATGAATAAGTGAACAAAGCTTTTAGTTCAATCATATAAATACACTAAATATTTGAATCATGGATATTTATAATTCATCTTTCATAAAATAAACCTTGTATGTAGAATTAGTATTTCAAGAGGCATGAATGGTGTTTTGTTTTACTGAAATATTTTTTAATGCATTCTCACTCAGTGCTTTCAATCCCCATTTATGGACACAATAGTTATCTGGAAATTTTGCAATCATTCCTTAGAAATGATTTCTCATTGATGAGCAGCCCATCAAATACATTTTATTCAGTAAGTCACAAAAAAGACATAAAGTATGAAACTATTTTAAAGCATAATATCTGTTCAGTTTGGAAAACTACTTCACACACACTGGTAATGCAGTTCATTCCTGTGATTCTAAATACCGTATATAATGTAAACATAATAATGCTTGTCAATAATAAACAATCTAAATTTAATATCCTGGTAGAGCGATGTTTATATATTTTATTTTGATCCTCAAGGGAGCTCAATTCCATAATAAAGCTATAGATAAGAATTTGCCCTGATGTTCCCTTTTCTGCCTCTATATACTTAGAGGCATTCATACTCTCAGTATTTGTTAGACTGCTCTTGGATGGATGTGCTAAGATGGTCATGCAGACATAGTGTGGGCAGAGTGCTGTAATACAAGCATTCCCTTCTGGCTATAAGTCTATGATGATAGTGATGTATGTTCTTCTAGAGCCATTTAATATTTCTTTAATAAAAGCTTTTAGATTATTTTTAGATTTACAGAAAAGGTGCAAAAATAATGAGTTTCCACATACTCCTTTCCCGGTTTACCCTGGTGTTATTGTCTTATATTGCCTTGGTACTTGTGTCAATACAAAGAATCCCATATTCACACGTTGCTGCTAACTGAATCCCATACTTGATTCTGATTTCACTAGTTTTTCCTCTAATATCCTTTTTCTGTTCCAGTATCCTATACATTGGTAACACATAGGTAGACCAGGGACTAAGGAAAATAATGGAAAATGGAGTTTTCCCCAGAGAGAAAAATCAGGCTCTGAATAAAGAAATATCTTCCATCACCAAGACTGAGGTGCCTTCAAAATGCTAAGTCAGCAAGATTTCAAAGCTGACCAGTGTATCTCCATTCTTCTCTTTCATAGAAGGGAACTCTTTTCTTCAAATTATTTTTTTAAGTATAGTCAGTTTACAATGTTGTGTTAATTTCTGATGTATCGCATAGTGATTCAGTTATACATTGATTCCTTTTCATATTCTCTTTTATTATAAGCTATTATGAGGTAGTGAATATAGTTCTTTGTGCTGTACAGTAGGGCTTTGTCACTTATGTATTTTATATATAGTAGTTAGTACCTAGTTAGTACCTACAAATCCCAGACTCCCAGCGTATCCCTCCACCTCCCCCTGTCCCCACTGATAACCACAATTTTGTTTTCTGTCTGTAAGTCTGTTTATGTTTAGAAAATAAGTTCACTTGTGTCATTTTTAAAGATTCCACATGTAAGTGATATCATATGGTATTTGTCTTTCTCTTTCTGACTTACTTTACTTAGTATGGCGATCTGTAGACTTATCCACATGGCTGCAGATGACATTATTTTATTCTTTTTTAGGGATGACTAGTATTCCACATACATACATACACACACACACACACACACACACACACACACATAATGGAACATATATAATTTTGTATATATATAATTAATATTGTTAAAATGGCTATACTACCCAAAGCAATCTACAGATTTAATGCAATCCCTATAAAATTACCCAAGACATTTTTCACAGAACTAGAACAAATACTCCTAAAATTTTTATGGTATCACAAAAGACCCAGAATCACCAAAGCAATACTGAAGAAAAAGAGCAAAGCTGGAGGAATAACCTTCCCAGACTTCAGATAATACTACAGAGCTACAATAATCAAAGCAGTGCTATATTGGCACAAAACAGACATATGGATCAATGGAACAAAATAGAAAACCCCAAAATAAACCCACAAACTTACAGCCAATTAACCTTTGACAAAGGAAGCAAGAATATACAATGGGGAAAAGACAGCCTCTTCAGCAAGAGGTGTTGGGAAAGTTAGACAGCTGCACGCAAATCCGTGAAGTTAGAACACTCCCTCACACCATACACAAAAATAAACTCAAAATGGCTTGAAGACTTAAACATAAGACAGGACACCATAAACCTCCTAGAAGAAAACACAAGCAAAACACTCTCTGACAAAAATCTTAGCAATATTCTCCTAGAGAAGTCCACCACAGCAATAGAAATCAAAGCAGAAATAAACAAATGGGTTTACACACTGCTGCAACACTAATTGGAAAAGATACATGTGCTTCATGTTCACAGCAGCACTATTTACAAGAGCGAAGACATGGAAGCAACCCAGATGCCCATCAACAGAAGGTTGGCTTAAGAAGGTGTAGTGTATATATACATACACAATGGAATATTAGTCATAAAAAGAATGAAATACTGCCATTTTCAGTAACATGGATGGATCTATAGAGTATTATGCTTAGTGAAATAAGTCAGACATACGAAGACAAATACTCTACATTATCATTTATATGTGGAATCTAAATAAAAACACAAGTGATGGCATATAACAAAACAGGAACAGACTCACAGATATAGAGAATAAACTAGTGGTTACTAGTGGGGAGAGAAAAGAGAGGAGGGGGTAAACACAGGTATGGGATTAAGAAACACAAACTACTATGTATAAAATAAATAAGCAACAATTATAAGCTTATATAATATCATCAATCAACTATACATCAAAAAAAAAAAAAAGAAGGAAGGCGAAAAGGAAGGAATGGTGTCCGTGGGGGTGTGTGTGACTATGATACGATAACATTCGGGCAAAGACCTGAAGGAAGCGAGGGAGCTTTCTGAACATTGGTAATAACAAGTACAAAGACCTTGTGGAAGAAACACACTTGGAATTGTCCAGGAATAGCAAGAAATCAGTGTGAACAAAGTGGAGTGAAAAAGTAGCGGAGTGGTAAGTCATGATGTAGCTCATCTAAAACCGAAGTATCCACAACTAAGTGGCATTAGCCATGTCATGGTATTTCCAGAGAGGAAAAACATATAAAATTGTTATTACTCAGTGTACCTTTTTCAAAATGTAAGAGAAGGTCGTCATGTACAGAAAAATCAGAAAGTTTTCTTATTATTGATCAATCATCCTTTCTTGTACTCTGGCCTTCTTGTTTTTCAAAATTATCCTATGTCCATACCATTTCTACCAAATGATTTACTGAACACAGAACTATTCATTCCTTTCAAATGTTGTACATGTGTAGCTCTGAATAAAATCTGCTAACAAAAACATATATCTTTATTTTAAAAATCCATAGCACATTTTTCTTCAGTTTGAAT